AACATGTCAGGTTTTTAGAACATTTTATTTAGACTTCCCTTTCTGTAGGAAGTTTTGAAAACACTACTTTTCATTGCAAATTAGAACAAGACCCTTTATAAAATATCAGTATAAGCTACAGAAGTGTTCTCATCTATAACTCAGACTCATGCTGTCTGGGTAAGGCATGTTGCAGAAGGCACAGTGTAACAGGGGGCCTGCTCGGAGCCACTTTCCCTGTGGCCTGCTCACCTGCTCCTGGGCTAACTGCCCACATTCTCACCCACCGTGCCTTGATGTTAATTAGTTAAATAGATGGTAATAAGCGGGAGGCTGCCTGTTTCCTGCCCCAATGCCAGGGGGCACTATCTGTGGTTCCATTCCTCCCCTACACCACAGCCCAAGCCTCACAGATAGCATCTAGATGTTCTCATTATCACTGGCCCCCATACTGGGCCCCAGAATCCTACCATTGAACCCCACCTGGATTCCTGTCATCAGGCAGTCTTATCCGCCTTCATACCGGGCAACATAGCCACCTGAACTGCTTCCTCTTCGGGTGTGATCCCCCCACCGGGACCTTCAGCTACTAGCCCTGGCCCACATCCAGGCCAGTTGGAACCCCAGACCCTCAGCTCTTGGGCGTTCCTCACAGTGGGCCCCTGGCCCTTCAACCCTTCTAGTCCTGGCCCCAGCATGGACCAGTTACAGGAAGTTCAGACAGGCATTGAGTCTATGGCCTTTTTTCTCTCTCTGAGGGTCCACCCTCTGGGCCCTCCAAACAAAGGGTAACCCAATCAGTTGTGGGGGCTAGGGGTTAAGGCACCCCAATCCACCTTTCACTGGGGTAGTAACTGGCCTGGCATTTCCTGGGGGGCTCCTGCACCACTGGAGCCCCACCAGGCCACCCACACCCAGCAGGGTGCAGTTTTAGGTTATACCCAGGACCAGGAGCCTTCTTACTATCCCCTACAGCTCCTCCCTAACCTCCAGATGATATCAGTAGCCCTCCAGCCAGGCAATGTTGTTGCCTGGCCCCCAGCAGCAGAACTACCCTGTTTATATGGGCAGCCCTGAATCTAAAATGGCTGCACTAATCAGGTACCTGCCGGCTGCTGCCTTCTGGCCCTTAAAGTGGCAGGCACAAACAGTGACCTGCCACACACAGGTTAACCAGAACTGACCAGAATTTGTCCATACTTTTAGGTTCCCATGAAATTTTACAAACACTATAGTCAAAACTACTAACCAATTGCAGATTTTCTGTTTTCCCACATCTTCCTTTTCTGAGCATCAAATCCTTTAGATACCAGCATTCCTTTTTTTAAGCTGCTGAATCTCAATAGATTCAAGTATACTTGGTTGTGCATACATGTTCATTTCCATCAGAAGAAATTACTCAGCAACCACAGCAGGCCCTGTGCTGCTTTGGACTAACCTAGAGCAATACAGGGTGAGGTGGGAGCATTTTGCTGCTCAGGAGCCTTGTTACCATGACCCAGCAACCTGCCTCACCCTGCTCTGCTATGGGACAACAGGCTGGTGTGGGCTGTACAGAAAAGCCAGGAGCTGGACTGGGGAAAGTCTCTGCATGCCTGGCTCCTAGTCACTCTGGATTTCCCTTGCTCCCACTCTATGCCCTCCACAACTCAGTGGCAAAAGCAGTGATTTAAAAGTTGGAGTAGAACCTGAAGAAAACCTCCACAACCCACCTTCTGGCTCCCACTTTCAGCTTGTCCTTGTCACCCCAGTGCCCAGCTGAGTGGTGGGGCAGCCATTTAAAAGCTGGGAGGTGGGAGTGGGGTCCCTGAGCCCTTCTCCCAGCCAAACCCTGCTCTTAGCCACTGCCTTTTAAATCACTCTCCTGCCTCTCAGCTGGGCAGTGAGAAGGCAAGGGAGAGCGATCAGGAACTGGAAGCCAGGTCGGGGAGACTTTCCTGGAGTCATGCTCCTGGCTGTCAGCTTTTACATCTCTGTCCCATTGGATGGTGGGCATAGCAAAACCCCTTGCCTCTTCCCAAAGCCAGCAGCTGCCTACTTTAGGGAAGAGCCTGCAAATGGTGGCTGCTGCTCCCCTCACCTCCTAATATATGGGAGCAGGAAAGCTCCCATAGCTCCACAGCACCTTCTGAAAACTGGGGTAAACCCAGTCTTGGGAAGCCAGAGAGGCTTTCACCTGGTTCTACTCCTCCCAGTCCCCAGGAGGAGTTAAGCTGGGAGAAAGTGTAAAGTTCAGTCTCCTTGGAGAAACTTTCACAGGAGCAACATAATACTATTTTTGCTGCTTTATTTTTCTCTTGGAGTGGCCATTTTTGCTCCAGGAGAAAAGCTTGACTGTCTGTACCCCTTTGGTTTTTCTAGGAGGAAAAAGATACTCCTGGTAGAACTAAACCTGACCTTTGCCATTGATTCCATGACTTGCTTTTTAATTGCAACTAGAGCTAACCCATCAGACAACATATTGTTCATGAAGCCTTCTAGTAATACCAGAAGAGCTTCAAGGACACACTGCAGAGTATATTGAAATATTTCTGCACCCTGGGCAAAAAACTGAGAAAAGGAAGATGGAATTTGACTCAGATTACTCTGAAGACCTATCACTACCATAAATCATGTTATCAATATCTTTTGTTTATTGTAACTGTCAGATAACAGAGAAAGAATCTAATGGTAATTCTGCATTTAGATAAAACTATTTCTTGGACAAATTCATTTCAGTGAAATATCACATACAGTATTATTACACATCAGTAGGCTCATTGGCACTTCCATGATATTTGCCAATACAGCCAAGATCAGTCAGTTCTAGAGACAGAACCCAATTTTACTCCATTTATTTGCTGCTGCAGAGCTTCCCTCATCTTATATCACTCATTAAGCAGCAGTCACGCATTCTTGTCTAAACATAAGAATAATTTTCCTAAGGTCCCTCAGTGTTTCAAATCCTTTTCTGGAGAATATGTTCTCCCTAATTGTTAGGGAGCAAAATCAGTTTGAGCAACAAAACCCAAATCAAATTTGGACAGTAATTAAGAGAGTCAACTTTCCCAGGGGAAGACTTTTCTTCATCTAGCTAGGAGTAGAGCATAGATACTTTTTCCTAAGTTAATTATACAATGATATTAAGATCTCTTTTTTTCTCCCCACTTTGAAGAATACTGGGCACGTCTACACATTCATTAATGCGCCTTCATTAATGCGCATTTAGTTTAGTACTTGCCTAATAAAGTACTAACTAAATGCTCAGTAACTACAGTTACTGCAGAGTAGCACTAGTGCAAGGGTATTTTGTGATGGTTACTGCACATTAGCTTAATAACACTGTGCAGTAGGCTATTATCATGGTTTTTGACCAGCATGCTACTACGCAGCGTTATTAAGCTAATGTGCAATGTCTCATGTAGATGCACCCACTGAGAAAGAAGTAAAGGAGACTAAGAAATCTGAGACATTTTCTAGACTGAAATCTGAAAATTTTAATAGTTAAAAAATGTATCAATTGATTGAGTAAAACTTGAGGAGGAATGGGTGTTTTCAAATTATTTTGTTTTTAAATAAAGCATAGGATTTAAGAATGACTGGAGAAACCAAATTTAAATAGTTTTATTAAGAAACTTTCCTACTTAAGTCAAGAAAAAATTAAGAGAATATTTTTTTGAAAAATCAAAGAAGTTGCGTAAATATTGTGACTGTGATTTTGTCTTGTTTTCCCTACCCTTTTATTTTTAGTGTTGTCAGTTTGTTTTTTCTTATGCGCCAGATTTTAATAGCATTGCAAGAAGTAATATTCACTCTGCAACAGGGAGGGCTCCTGTTACTTGAAGGGGGAAGCAGCAGCAGGGAGGTCCCCAACCTCCAAGATCTGGAACCAACTTCCAAGAGAAGTGGTGCTGGCTCCTACCCTGGGGGTCTTTAAAAGGAGGCTAGATGTACACCTTGCTGGGGTCATTTGACCCCAGTACTCTTTCCTGCCATGGCAGGGGGTCGGACTAGATGATCTCCTCAGGTCCCTTCCGACCCTAGAAACTATGGTGGGGAAGACTGCTTATGAGATGGCTGCAGGGGAAGAGAGAGCTAGGGACTCATAGGTTGCAAGTACCTACTGCTGGGTTAGCTACCCAGAAAGAGGACGATAGGGCACGGCCCTGCTGGAACAACAAAGACACTGCTACGGCAGCCAGGGTACCAACAGTAAGCTTCCCATTGGAATGAAAGAGAGGCAGCTGCACCAGGGCTAGCAAGCCACCTGACCAGAAGGGGGCAGGGCTTGAGAGACATATAAACTCAGGGCCTGAGCCAGGGTGAAGGACTTGCTCCCTCAGCCCTTGAACAGAGCAGGGGAGACCTGGGTGAAGGGAAGGAGGACAACTAGAGTAGTGAGGCTCAGGCTCTGCCAGGACATATGCTGCGTATATGTTTTCTAGGCCTGTGCGAAGCAGCTAATATTCACTTTGGATTCAGAATATTCGGCTGATTCAGGGGATAGTGATTCAATCTGGTGATTTGAATCACTGGCCTGAATCAATTCAGCTGAATCTGATTCAGAGATTCTCTTTCCTGGTGGTGTCAGACAGCAGAAAAGCAGGGAGGTGTAGAAACCTTTCTTTCTTGTTTAGCAATGAAGTTTGTAAGTCCCAAAATAGCAACTTTTGCACTTCCCTTGTCTCAGATTTCAATTATTTGCAGATAAAGCAGTTAGGCATGTTAATCTGAAATTATGCAGAAAGCAGGGTACTAATGCAACTTATAGACTAACTGGAATTGGAGATGATAAGCTTCGTCATGCAGAGTGTTTGTTTATGATCTGGCTCTCCAGATAAAGGTGCTTAAACATTGCATAAAGATGCAGACTTGAAGGCTAGTTGGGCAAAGTGACAAAGTGTGGTGAGACATGACATTTTCCTGCTGAGGCACTCTGGGGCAAAAGGGTCCAACATGAAGCACAGAAAAACCCCTTGCACAAACAGAATGTGTATGCATGTGGGGGTGTGTGCGTGCGCGCATGTGTGATGGGGGTGGAGGTGGGGAGAGGGTGTTCAGCAGTCTACACTAAGATTCTGGAAGACCTGGTCAAATATTATCATTTTCTGTATAGCATGCCACACTTTCAAATTAAAACATGGTACAAATGAGTATCAAATATTTTCTACATTTAATAAGGACCATCTTTGAAGCTGGATCACTATTTTTGCATCTTATTTTTGGGTGAATTACTTGAAGATGTTTCATAGTTTCATAGTTTCTAGGGTCGGAAGGGACCTGAGCAGATCATCTAGTCCGACCCCCTGCCATGGCAGGAAGAGCACTGGGGTCAAATGACCCCAGCAAGGTGGTCATCCAACCTCCTCTTAAAAACCCCCAGGGTGGGAGCCTGCACCACCTCACTTGGAAGCTGGTTCCAGACCCTAGCCGCCCTGACCGTGAAGTAGCGCCTCCTGATGTCCAACTTAAACCTTCCCTCCGCCAGCTTGTGACCATTGTTCCTGGTCACTCCTTGCGGCGCTCGGGGGAACAGGGACTCCCCCAGCGCCTGCTGATCCCCCCTAACCAGTTTATAACAGGCCACAAGATCCCCCCTCAGCCTTCTCTTTTGAAGGCTGAACAGGTTCAGGTCCCGCAACCTTTCCTCATAGGACCTACCCTGCTGTCCCTTGATCATACGAGTGGCCCTCCTCTGGACCCTCTCGATGCTGTCCACATCCCTCTTAAAGTGCGGCGCCCAGAACTGGACGCAGTACTCCAGCTGCGGCCTGACCAGTGCCGCATAGAGGGGGAGGATCACCTCCTTGGACCTGCTCGAGATGCATCTGTGGATGCACGACAAGGTGCAGTTGGCCTTCCTAACCGCCTCCCCACATTGCCGACTCATGTTCATCTTGGAGTCAATAATGACTCCCAGATCCTTTTCCACCTCCGTGCTGACAAGAGGGGAGTTCCCCAGCCTGTATGTATGGTGCCGATTGTTCCTCCCCAGGTGCATCACCTTACACTTGTCTGTGTTAAACCCCATCCTGTTCTCCTCCGCCCATCCTTGTAACCTATCTAGGTCCAACTGTAGCCTGTTGCTCCCCTCAATTGTGCCCACATCCCCCCACATCTTAGTGTCATCAGCAAACTTGAACAGGGTGCTTTGCACCCCCTCGTCCAAATCACTGATGAAGATATTGAACAGTGCAGGCCCAAGGACCGAGCCCTGTGGGACCCCACTTCCCACGTCCTTCCAGGTCGAGAAGGACCCATCCACTACCACCCTCTGGGTGCGACTCTCTAACCAGTTGGCGACCCATTGGACTGTATGGGTGTCTACGCCACAGTCCCCCAGCTTCCTAATGTTGCTCCATTAACGCATGAATTACACTTCAATACTTGTTCTAATTTCAGATGAAGTTTGCAGTCTAGTAGGTCCCTGGGAGACATTGCATTTAATTCACTTGCATGCTTTTTTAAGGGTCAAAACCATAATATTATACATTTTTTAATTGTTAACAGTAATAATATGACATCCTGCATACTTACACTGCTTAATTAATATTAAACAAATTCCAGCTCACAACTTGTCTCTGTGTTTGAGTGTAGGACACACAGTAACTGAAAGAATAAATGGTATTATAATATTATTTAATTCTTGTTCATATATTAATCAACATAACAATGTTTTTATTCTGTAAAATACACCTTTTTATGCAGAAGCTCCTACATGAATACATAATTCTAGAATGCTACAAATTCAGAAGTGCCATATTTAGACCAGGATGAGGTTTTTTCCTCCTATCCAACATGAGGAAAAACAATTTCTATTGCATTTGGTATAAAGGGAATCACCAGCAGTTTTGGTCAAAAATTTTCAACAGGACATTTTGCATCAAATATTACAGAAATCAGAATGTTTAACCAGAATGTTTCATCTTTATGAATTTTTATGTGAAAATGCCAAAGCATTTTGTTTCAATGCTTTTGTTTTTCCTTCAATAACATAAAAAGATTTCATTTTGATAAGGCTGAAATATGTTTTTTGATACAGTAAAATGCTTTGCTTAACTATACTTCAAAGTGTTTTAAGTTTTTATTTTATTAAAAGACTATTTTAATGTATATTTAGTATGATATTCAAATATCATTTATTATATATAATTTTGAACATAATCTAGAGGCAGAAATGAGACAAAATTATTGAAACAAAATGTTTTACCTCAACCAAATGAAATGAGTTGTCTTGAAATATTTAATGGTTCCTAACAAAAGAATTCTGATTCTTGTTATGAAAAATTTCAAAATGTTGATGGTTCCTTCTCTCGAAGAATAATTACATTTGTGAATATTTAAATTTAATTTAAAAAATCATTCTATGTTCTCACCTAAGCAGGAGAATCTAGCAGGCAATTTGTGTTTGACTAAATTGTAGCTGCCAATTGGAAAGGAGACAAGACAAGAGAAAACAGAAATCACTGCTGGACTATGCAGTTCATTCTCTCACAAATATTTGAGATTTATCAAAGCACCTTCATTATAAGTTGGTCTGCTAACTGCTATTAACCAATACAAAAAGGGATATCAACCCATAGCATCAATGGCTTCATCTTGTTTTAAAATCAACATAATCTGAAGAACATGGTAGGCTAATGTTGATCATCAGTTAAAGTACTGCTCAGATTCAAGATTTGGAACAAAATCTGTAATACTGTGTGTGTTGTGTGGGAGATGGGGGAGAGTGGGGAGATTCCTTTCCCTCAAAGTACCAACATTTATACTGCATACCTGCCATTCAAAAGTCTGCTAAACAAACCTGGCAAATTATAGCATTACTAAACTACTTGCATATGCAGGCAGGAAGCACTGAGAATGAATGCAGCAATCTTTTACTGAATGAGAGTCCAAATTTTTAACATAATCTTAAAGCTGAAATGAGACGACATTATTGAAACAAACAAACAAAAAACCTGTTCATGTGGAAAATAGCCCTTTTTCCTTAGCTAACTGAGCCCTCTGAATATTTTTATAAAGCATGCATTAATATTTATTCCTTATATACATAACTATCACTTTTTTTCCTTATGAAAAAAATCAAAAAGGGATTACACAAGAAAATTGTCCTGACAGAGTCTATTATAAAGTACTTTATGATTCATTGTGCTGCTCTTCAGCACAGGTCAATAGTTGTGATACCACAGCCTGGGTTCACACATGCAAATAGTAGGAAGATTAATTTTAGTGCACAAGAAACTCAAGGGCTGGTGTGATTCATCATCAATCACTATCAGTTCCTGTTTATGCCAGGGCTTTAAAGAGAATCCTGCCTACAAACAGGATACAATATGAGACACTTGCCTGCTCTCTGTCAGTGTGATGAAGGACTTGGGGAAAGTTTGAATACAAGTGGAAGAATTTCAAGGGAGAAGGTGAGAGCTGTGAAAAATCACTTTGCAAGGTTGCAAAGTAAAATGGAAGTTGCTGTCCTGAGTTAGCACCTGACAAAAATGTTTCTCACATACATTCTTGCGTGGGAGGCACTATCATCTCATGGGTAAAGCATGTTCTCAAGTTTCTGAATGAGTAAGGAATTATACTGCCTCTAGTGCTCCTATGAGAATAATACTAAGTGCAAGTGTGCCTAAGAGACAATGATTTCAAATACAGGTATCTCAATTCCAATGCCTAAATCCATATTTAAGCATCTAATAATAAATTGGTTGATTTTTGTAAGTGCTGAATACCTGCACGTTCCTTTGAAGTGAATGGTACTTGTGGGTCTTCAGTGCCTGCAAAAATAGAGCATTTTTTACAGTAAATTTATGCTTAAATATATAGCTAGGTAGGGAAAGTCTAGCCAAGGTACATTACTATAGGATCTACATCTGACACCCTTATTCATGATGAGTGGTCCCTTAATTTTATTTTCTGTGATCTTATTACAGTAATCTTTACTGTAATAAGATTACGGTAATCTTTACAAGCAATCTTATTTACTGATATTTACTGAACATGAATCAAATTGGTAGTATCAGGCCCACAAAAATAGCTAAAGAAATATCAACTCATTTTATTAAAGCAAAGAGACATATGGAGCAGCATCCAAGGCCTAAACACCCTGTTGTGCATCTGAAAACTGACAAACAAAGCAAATGAAAATAAATCTAATCCAAGCCAAAAGGGGAACCCCCCCCAGCTTCCTTATGATAAATATGCTAGCTAACATCACACAAGTAGGCCACAGCAATTGACAAAAGGTATTACAGCGCTAAAGGCAATGAGTGAACTGTCTCTGTTGGTTCTGGGTGTCTGAAATGTGTATTTGTACAAACCTGACAGGATTGAATTACTCAAAAAGTAGAACTTTCTCAACAACAGAGTTTGCTGTTGCTGCTACTGTTTTTATTCTGTTCTAAATCAATGACCACTATAAAAAGTGACAGGAATGACACTAGAACAGCTACTAGGCAACAGCTGTGTGCAATTATGCCTAGCCAAAAAAAAGCCCCTGCCAACTATGGGTATAATAAAAATAGGCAAATAGTATTACGAGTGCTTAAAAACCAATTTCTTTTATGAAACTCTGGGTCAAATATGCCTACGTATAAAAAGTATAGATATTTTTGGTCTTCCGTTTACAATAAGATTGAACAACACACATGGCTGGTGTATATGTTTATTTAGCTACCTACTCCATATGAAGCTGAAGTATGAAAATAGCAGTCATTTCTTAGAAGGGAGTAAGCTCATTGAAGATCTTTAAAAGAGCCATAATGATATCAGACATAGATTAGCTTGAATGGAAGTTTTTCAGAAGCCAGATGTGCCTCTAACTCAGGGGAGGGCAAAATATAGGCCAGGGGCCAGAGTCAGCCTGCCAGGCAACTCCAGGTGGCCCGTGAGTCCCCTCTGTAAACTTTCTGTAGGCCCTGCCCTGGGCTGCCCCTCTGCAAGCCAGCCTATCCCTGCAGGAGTTGTGGCTCTGGTTGCTAGCCCTGCTCCCCCACCACCCCCAGCCTGGTCTGACCAGCCCCCAGCCCTGAGCTAGGGGACACTAGAGAAAAAAAGCCTCTGCTTGGCAGAGGTTTTTGCTGGCACCCCTGTAGCTACTTCCAGCCTCCCCACCTGTCTCCAGGTTGGGTCACCCCTAACTTCATAAAGTAAGGAAAACCGGTAACACTTCTGTTAGGAAAAAGCAGGCAGCTAAAGTTGGGTACATGACCGCCTTTGTTACTGCAAATAATCAGAGTCTAGAACTTTATGTTAGGAAGTCAGAGAGAAAACACCGTTTCAAGAAGACTCTCTGTGTGGAGAACAAATCTGATCAAGATGCATCGGACGGTGAGGAGGGAGAAATGTCCATGTATATAATCCATCAAAATGGCAGCCTTGACAGACCCCAAACAACTGTGCAATTAGAAGTTACAAGCCCAGAGTTTCCAGTTGTTTTGGGAAGCCATAAATCTGACACAAGCTGAGAAGCTGCCACCCAGGCGGGGCGTGCTAAAAACAAAAGACCACACAGTATTACCGTACATCTTATACATAGCATGCTAGGACTGTTATCCTAAGTATAGTTCCTGGTTTCTAACACCGTCTGATTTTTACATCAACTTTGCTTATGTAACATTCATACATACTTGGGGCTGGGTGTGGTCAAGTGTGTTCTGGTTTTATTTTGCTGTGTATCTTATTCGTGCTGCATATTTTGTTTCTTCTAGGTCTGGAGAAACCCACCTCCCACCCGCCTCAAACAATTGTTTTAAGATTCCTCAGCAGAACCTGTAGAACCAGTTGAGTGATTGGCCAAATCCAGGAGTGCCGACCCCCTTGGAACTCACTGGTCTGCATTAACCATGTTCCAATCAGGCTGCTTTTTGGCTGGGGCCCTGGATGAGGTCAGAAAAGTTATTTAAGGTTGAGGCTACCTGGTCTGGCGTTCTCTCTCTTCCTCCTCCTGGGGTTGCTGAAGTCTGAACGCTGATTAGGGAGCCAGAGGGGCCTGCTTCCTATGGGCGGGGGGTGGCCCCCTGCTCTTCACTGATGAAGCAGACTGAAGCTATGTGACGGAAAAGCCTCAGGTACAGGAAGAGAAAGTCTGTCTCAGGGCTTGAGACCCCTGTTCTCTCCCTTTTCTTTCCCTTTTTATTTTCTGGGTTTTTGAGAGGTGATGTCGTGTGGGAGGTATCAGTCTCTGCAGCAAATGGGTCAAGGTTGGAGCCTGTCAGTTTTGCTGGCATGCTCTGGGCCAGGGCTGAGAGCCTGGCATGTTTTAGTTGCTATTGCAACTTCGTTTGGGTTCAGCATAGCTGTGTCGCTGAACCTCAACTATGTGTCTGGCTGGCTGGATGTCATGAGTGTATCCTTCCCCAGTGCAGGCTGCCCAGGAATGAAGTCCGGACAGCTACTGGCCATGCAGGCCTCTAGTGGGATGATGCCATGAGAGTATCATTCCCTAATGGAGACTGATCAGGAGACAGGGTCCTGGTAGTCGCTGTATTGGGGATTGCAGTGTCTCAGCATGGTGGTATAACTGAGACTACTTGTCCAGGCTGCAGCCATAAACCTGGGCCCTTATTGCTGTTTTACAGCTGCTGCATTTCAGCGCACCAGTGCAGGGCTGAACCCCAGCCATATGTTAGATGGCAGACTTGGGCCAGGGTGAAGCCTTGGCACTTCTTGTTGCTTATTTAGGCCTCAGTGGTGTATAGGTCTGGTTGACTTTTTGGTGCCAAGTCCAGGCCCAGTGAAATAAGCCTGGGCCTTCTTTTGTCCCTTTTGCAGTTTATGCCCCAACCAAGTGCTATGGTTGGGTGCTAGTTCAAATTTAGACCCAAGCCAAAGTCAGCCTAGTTTCCTTTTTGTTGTTTCGTAGCTGTTAGGTATCAGCCTAGCAGTGTAGCAGTAGCTAGACTTCTTGTCCAGCCTGCAGCTCTTTTGTTGTATGTGTTCAGACCTGCGCGCAGGACCCACCTGAGTCCCCTTTTTATTATTTGACAGTAGGGCTGAGCGAAACAGCACCATTTTTTTTACTTCCATTTTGCTGTTTCAATGGGACAGTGTTTCACTTCGAGTTTTGTTTAATTTCAAAAGCACTGTTCCGTTTTGTTTTGTCGAAACTGTTTTTGCTGTTTCAACACTGTTTCGACATTTTGTCCATAGGCTATACTGGGGAAGCACGAAACTGCCTATAACTGTCATTTCTTTCCTGATTTAGATTAAACTTGTGGGATGGTAGTCCCTTCTGAGGCCATGAAGCTTGCCAAGTTTCAAAGAGACAGGTGAAGGGGGGTTTCTGGGAAACTGCACTTCAAAGTCTTGAAAGCAAAACTCATGTCACGTGTGTATGTTAAGGCACAGCATGGTGGTGAAAACTGCAGGCATGGTAGCCCCTGCTGACACCACAAAGCCTTTCAAGTTTCAGGGAGATAGGTGCAAGGGTTTTTGGGAAACTGCACCTCAAGCCGCTGACAAGCAAAACTTGTGATGTGTGACTGTATGTGTTAAGTCACCGCTGTGTTTCTGTCCCTCCCCCAGAGCACTGGGATTGGAAGGAACCTCAGGGAAGGATCACAGTCACTGGCCAGCTACACATGTTAATGTCAGAGCAGTCCGTCCTCCCTCTTCTCCCTCCCTCTCCTTAGTTTCTCTTTAGCTGCAAGCAAGGCCAGCTTTGAAACTCGAAACGTTCTGAATCTTTTGAAACATTTCAAGTGCCCTCATTTTGTTCTGAGGCTGCTTTGAAGCCTTTTG